CCGCCAACATGTTTATCACTAACTACAAACCCAGACTTAGCTAAAACCTAATGAGTGACAAATTAATATATGTGGAAAAACTTGTATGCAACCCTGTTACTCAGACTGCCATTAAAAATTATTAAACTTAATCCTTACATAAATGTAAAATATAATATATAAATGTAAAATAATTGTAACTCCTTTCACTGACAAATTGAAAGAAAAAAAACCTTGCATTTGCAACCCTGTTACCATGATTGTTCCACTTTAGCATGGTGGGAAGACAAGTTAAAAAATACACACATACACAGAGAGACAGACAGACAGACAGACAGACACACACACACATGTATATCCCATTCCAATTTTTCAACCTTTTCACAAATTGCAGGATTGACTGCTTAGCCTTCAACCCTGTTACCATAGTTATTGTGTGGGGGTGGGAATTAATTTCTTTCCATGCATTTTTTCTTTTTAATTTACGGAAAATGTGACATAATTGTTTACCAAATGTTTAACAAGCTTCAAATGCATGCTTTTAAAGCCTCATGTACACTTTACTCATTGAGTTCCATTGTAAGTGCAAGTGTTTTTCCTTTGTTTTTACAAACTTTTCTGTTGTAACGGAAAGCATGTTATAAATGCTGTCCTGACGTTCAGTTAAAAATAGCCCAGAACAACCCTAGCTGTAATGTGATGCGTGTTTCCATTCTGATTCAGATATCAATTTTTTTTCCAGATCTGATGGATTTTAAAGAGAACAGACGGGGTTCTCCAGATTACACCATCTACCTGTGCTTCGGAGAGAAGCTTCCGGATGGAAGACCACTGGAGAGGAAACTGATCACTGTCAAAGTAAATATCGCAAACAAAAACAGCAACACATTTTGAATTGTTTTGTTTGCGCTTCATTATAACGTATCTTTTCCATCTCCACAGGTTGTACCTCTGATTTGCCGTGAATTTCATGAGAGAGCTCAAATGGAGGGAGCGTCCTCTCTTTGCAATGAAAACATTAGCTTGCAGATCTCCCACAACAGCCTTTTTGACCTTTTAAATTCTTTGGGTCCGCCTTCAGTGGCCTAAAGCAGTTGTTTTCACCATGAAATCAGCCAGCTAACATTCATTTCCACACACACAGACATTATATAAGAGAGAGAGAGAGAGAGAGAGAGAATTACATTTTGTTACTGTTATACTTCAGCACAATGCAAACTGACAGAACTTTCCCGAGGTGATTTCCGTGGGGCATTCAAAGGCCTTGTAATTGCTCTGAATTCATTGCTGGTCGTTCTACCGTTTAATAGCTATCTCAATTAAACTGTATTGTTCAAATTACCCGAAACATTGTCTTTTTATTTTGTAATGAGAGCTAGAGCCTCGTTTTAATATCCTGTCTTCTAGTGAAGAATCTTTCACCTTTCGCCCAAAGGGCTGCACTTGTATCACTTCTCATCTGTCGCTTTATGAATGTGATATCTAGAAAGTTTGGTATCATTAAATGTACTATTATTTAAAAACTACTGTTTGCTTGTTATGGGTGTTGTTTTATTAAATGATGCTGATGCCAATACCTAAAGACGGACTATGTATAAAAATGTTATGCATATAAAACCTAATAAACATATACAAAATGAAATATTTTGTTATTAATATACAACGTAATACTTTTAAATACACAGACACACTTGTGTATTTAAATCTCAAGACGGCGAATAAAATACAATTATACAGCACATTTCATTAATAAACATTTTCAAAATTCCTGCTAACTAAACATTATTTCCAGAATGTATTATTTATTGTACATTAATCATTCAATATTCACCCATTTTTGGACCGTAACACAAACATACCACCTTAGGAAATGTGCCAAAGGATTTTCTTTTAAATTTTTATTAAATAAAGTGTTTAATAAAATTATTTACAAAGACAGCAATATGGATGCCTCAACTCGCATCACGAATTATGTATTCTGTGACTGCTTGGATTCATATGATAAAGCTCACTCAGGTTAAGAGATCAGAATAATCTCTCTCAAGTCTGGAAATGAATTAACTCGATGCGATTTGCCACAGGAAAACAGGCCAAACGTTCTGCAAGTTACATGATCAATTCAGAAATCTTACAAACATTTCTCAAGCTATTAAAATACAACAATTAGTGAAAAGGGTTCAGAAAAAAACCCCTTTGAAATACACTTTTAGCTATCAACTTTTCTAATTAATACTTTTCATTGAAACTTTAGAAGTGCATAAAGAAATGGTTCATTATTTTATAGGCTGAATGTCGTTTTGTAAGCATGTCGTCCACAAACAGAAAAAAGAAAACAATAGCAATCAGGAAAAACAACTGGCAAACATTCAGCCGGCAGCTTTTAAAATGAAAACGGTCACATTTCAACCGAACACAACAGATCAATTACAGCCGTTCACGTGTGTCATGAGAGAACCTTATTATTTCTCTATTTACAACAAAAGCATTTCAATGAGGGTGAGGTCTACTGCAAGTTTTCCTGTTTTACCTATATTAGTACACAAAACGATTTTAAAGAACCAAATTGAGTCTCATAATGACTGGATATCAGAAAGATATTTTAATTTTAATAAATACTCTTGAGTTTTCTGAGAGATCACAGAACGTCCCAGAGGATCTTCTGCACCTTGTTCCTCAACATAATGCTTGTATTCTCATTAACCACAAAACAATTACTATGCTCTCCAGTGTCAATTATTCATGGTGGAACGACAGGTTCAAGAGTATTGTGTGTGTGTATATATGACGTATACATACACACAAATGTGTGTCTGACAATGCAAGAGCCTTTCTGACAACTTAAGCTTCCTGTTGGATCATCAGCTTAAAATAGCATAGTATTATAGCTCTTGAAGAGGGTGCCGTTTTGAACAGTGGCAAACGTAAAGATTTTCAACCCATTCTGTATCTGGACACTTCCAGATGATCTTTATATTCCAAAGAAAACATACAAACACTCAAAAAGGTTAATTTGATAACTGATGACAAGATGTTGAGCCCTTGAGAGTTTCCCATGTCATTATAGAAATGCACAGATTTAAAAAAAAAAAAAAACATCCAAATCTACTGTTGATCACCATTATATATAAGATACCGTCTGAAAAGCATGTAGCCGGTACCCTCGGCCTCACATTGGAGTTTGGGAGTCTTTCGGGACGTCTGCCTGTTGGATTTGCCCAGTTTCCTCTTTCTTGTGTTTTCTTGCATGTTTATACTTATCCACATAGGCTTTGACCAGGTTGGCTACTTTCACCGGGTTAATCTCCCCGCTCTTGCTATGACACACCTTGGGAATGAGACAAAGATGATATGAATGGGGTCATTTTCACATGACAACATGATAATGATTTCATAATTCACTTAAGAAATGGGCCATTGGAGTGGAGGGAAACAAAATAGTATTTGCATATGCAAATGTGCTCGTCACAGATGTTTACTTCGGTCGTAACACGCCGTACAAGGAAGTGGATATGGAAAAACAACCACAAAAGAAAACATCTGACGTCACGCAATTACCTTCTGAACGGCTTTGCGCAAAATCTCTTTGTACTCTTCCTTCGTGATGTCTCTTTTCTGGTAGAAGGGTTTTATGGCCAGTTTGACCTCCTCTATTGCTCGCTCTTGCATATGAAGTTTCATCATGTACTACAGAAAGACAAACAATGTTTACAAATTCATGACATCAAGACAATGCAATGAAAAATGAGATAGTGATATGACGTAATTGTGCCCTAGTCACCTTCTCTGTCTGATTGGGGTCGTGTAAAACTTCTTTGTGGGATTTTGGTTTGATGGATTCATCTTGGGGAGGCAGGCTGGAGACCGATGCCATGCATTTTGGTTCAGCCTGAGAGGAAGCTTTATCCTTTAATATGAAATAATATGGTAGTACTGAAGTACCCATAACAGCACTCCAAACTGTCTGAGATCATGAAAATTCCCATAAAATGTTCAAAAGATTTGTGAGGCGTCTCAACTTCCTGTGCTCTGGGATTTCCCTGACGGGAATGTGATGTAATTTATCAAGCACAGATTTGTTGCATCTGAATGATTTTTTATCTTTATTTTAATTAATTATATTATGTAGCTGATGATTGCAAAACATCACAGAAACAATCAGCGTCAACTGCTGAAAATAAACATAACCCTCATAAATCATGGTAAACTTGTTTTTGTCTGGGACACTCCTTGTGAAAGGAGGATGCAATTTCCAAGAGTAATGTTAACTTTCATTTCTTCTGAAGTGAAGCCTTATATGGCTGCTTTCAGTTTCGATCACATGGGTACAATACAATTGCATCAACATTATTTTCACCACCTCCAGAGAGCAAGCTGCAAATTATGAATGCAAATAGTGACACAATGACACCCTCTGGTTGCTCGAAGCAACTACATATGACGGGCAATAATTATGATATGCACTGGTATCCAAAATCATTTCTATTAAGAATGGAGATTTCTCGTATTCATTTTTGTGTTATTAAAATTCAAAAGCTTGTTCATGAGGCTAAATTTATGTAACCCAAAGAGTTTTTTTCAGTTAGAAAGTGTTATGAAAATTCTGCAATTATGTACTATAATGGGGTATATGTTGAATGTCACCTGACCAAACCCAGAAAACAGGTCTCATCACATTCGCTTGGCAGAGAAACTTGTTAACTTGTTAACAGTAGTATGAACTGATGGTGATATGGAACTTTAAGATAATCAGCTAACTTAGCTAATTGTTTTTATTGTTGGTGTTTTAATAAATTTTTATATCCAAATGCAAGTAAAAAGAAAAAAAAGAAAAAAAAAAAACTTTTAGATATCAATCCGCATATGTGATGGACACTGGTTATGATCATCTTAGGTATCTCCTTTTTTTTTTTAAACACAATCAAAGTGGTTTACATTGCACATTAACAGTCTTAAAAATATCTGTTGTCTTCAGAAGAAGTCATGCAAGAGTGAACCTCAAGCTACAAAAAAAATCGAAGTTAAGAAAATTTACTATGTTAAATGGTGGTGTGGGGGGAATCTATCTCTTTAAGACACTGTACCTGATTTTGTGGGGTTGTAGCAGACCTTCGTGACCCTTCTTGCTTGAGTTTTAATTTGAAGAGTGCAAGTTCTAAAAGAGGCATGGGAAAACATTCAGAATATTTTAACTAGTTTTCAAAAACATTTTAGTTGTATGTTACCTGAATGCTTCACACTAAATCTGCTGTGACTGAAGTCATTTAGGGTGTGTTCACACTTGTCATGTTTGGTTCGATTAAAACGAACCCTGGTGCGATTGCTCTGTTAGTGCGGTTCATTTGAGTAAGTGTGAACGCTGCCACTGAACCCTGGTGCGCACCAAACAGGCGGACCGAGACCACTAAAAAGATGGGTCTCGGTCCGCTTCCAAACGAACTCGGGTGCGGTTCGAATGAAATATGAATGCAACACGGACCAAATACTTCTAAACGAACCAAAAACAAGATGCGACGCTATGCGACATGATTTGACGACGGTGTAACCAAAACAAAATGAGCAGAGGGCAAACGTGGAGCAACGATGAGGTAAAGTGCCTTTTATGAGCTCCTTGTGAGCTTGCAGATGGTGAAAATAAAATTATATGTACACGCAAGAATGAGCGCACTTAGCCCAGCAGACGACATTAGGTGTGTTCGAATTAAAGCAGCGCTGAGC